ATATATATATATATATATATATATATATATATATATATATACATATATATATATATATAATTAATGATACTTGCATTTTGCAGAATGTTAGATGAGTTCGGGAACGAGCTAGAGGCGACAGATTCGAAATTGGATGCGACGATGAAAAAGATGGCGAAGGTGCTTCACATGAGTAATGGTAACTATAACAATTATATTCCCGCTCCTACCACTGCATCATCCAGTGTTTCCGATCTTACCGACAAACCCTCCTCTTTCTCCTCCTTATCTACCACGATAACTAACTGTTTTCTATGTTCTAGCGATTAATTGTGCGTTCCTATAATTGTTTAATTAAAAAATCGCAGTAAAAGATCATAAAATCCGCCTTCTTGTTTATCTTAAACACGTATTTTATTTTATATATGTTTTTTTTATTCTTTTCGAAGTTTTCATGGTATTAGAAGCACAAAATTAAGAATGTTAAATAATATTTTAGGTGTTTAATTAGACACGAATAAATAATATTTTGCGCCTCGTAGAAATCGCGTAGTAGATTGATATATTAACATCTAAGACCTAATTATATCAGTCCCTATCGCTGCTTCGTAAGATGATGTAGAGATTATTACGTATAAATAATTAACAAATATGTCGAAATATTCTTGTTTGTGGAGTGTAAATTTTATCGCGTTATTTAGTATTGCGAAAACAGAACGGATCAGTTAGACTTCAAAAGAAGTACTCCTTTATTGAAGTTAGACAGCATAATTTAATTGACAAAAAGAGTTAAAGATATAGAACACATACGCAATATATGATTGAAATATGTTCATTGATAAATAATAGTTCAAATTTCTCCTTTAATTTAAATTTTAATGTGTAATATATTTTTTAGTCGCGTATGTGACTGAAATTATTTGGAAACTAGTAGCGTTTTCGACTGACGCAAAATTGGATTGCTGCGAGAACGAATTCGAACTTGCGATAGAATTATGAAGTTTCGATCGTTTCCAAAGCGATTTAATAGCGCTTTGATCGAAAATGTTATTAGAAATAAATTAGAATTTGAATTCTCGCAGAAATACATATATTTTTATTCTGTGGCATGCTACGGTCGCATATACATATGTGATAGAAGTAAGTCGCAGACAGGATTTTGAAGTAGAATTTTAAATTTTTGCAAACATACCAAGAGCTTAAATTAATATTTATATTTATCTTCGAAATTGCACGTGTTAATCTTCTAACTTCAAAATCATTGATAACAAATAAATTATTGATGTCAAATAATTTACGTTAACTTAAGTTAAATAATTTACCTAAATATATTATCTTAATTAGAGAATTAGAATAACTTGAATTATTATAAGATTTTAAAGACACGCGATATTGAAAACTCCAGATTATGTATGGTAAATTTTTCAAATTAAACGAGATATGTGATAGTTTAATAAAAAATAAATATTGAGAGTAATGTTAATATCTTCCCTCATTCTAAAAAGATTATAATTTATGCATGTAAAAGTCAAGAGAATATGTATATGCGAATTGATAGAGGAGCGTATATTGCACTGACTACATGTGCCCGAACTTGAAGATGTAGTTTATTACTCTCTTTCTCTCTCTTTCCCCCTCCCCCGCTCCTACCCGTCTTTTTTGTTCTCTCTCTCCCTTCCATCCTTTCTCTTCCTCTCTTTCTTTCTCCCCTTCCTTTATTTCTCTTTCTTTCTTTTTCTACGACCAATGATGAAAAGCGAAAAAAAGAAAGCATTGACGAATAAAAACTGGGAACCGATTTATATTGTCAATTGTAAGCGATTATAAATATTCACGTTCTTCGTTATTATTCATTATGTATATTATAATTATAATTGTATAATTCCATATAATACATTTTTTATATAAGTTAAACGTGTTTTTTTTTTTTTGTAATTTTGCCAAGTTCCGAGATAAGTGACAAAGCTAGGAGAGAATGTTAAATAAACTCACACAGCACAGAAAGGTTGCAAGAACATTGCATAGATATTACACAGAAACATTGTAACATTCTATATATGTTACGATACGTTGATGCAACGTTGCCGCAAAGTTGCAGCAATGTTGAAATGTCCGCCATTAGAAACGTTACAATGAAACATTGTAGCAATGTTACGGTGGAATGTAATATGATATAATAGTAATATAATAATAATATAATAGTAATGTAATAGTTGCATTGAGTAGAAGAAGTAGCTTTCCACTGCGCTGTTAGCAGTTTTGCAACTGTTGTAAGAATTTCTGCTGAGAGACACTTAGCGGTTAATGCTTTTCCATCTTGTTTATTAAGTGGTTCGGCATATTAAAAGTATGTTAGAAGAAATAGCAACTGCTTAGTAAACATGTTGGCGTAAACCACCGTTGTCGTTCAGTAGAAAATGGTACAATTGTAAAGCTGTTGGTAGCGTATAATAAAATTAAACTGCGTTTTTTTATGTTAAATGTACAAGTATAGATGGTACGTTATATGGTTTGTTCTTTTTAGTTGACTTGGCTGCAATAATTCAAGAAATGTACATAGACTAAAACATGAGAATTTCGTATATATGTTTCATACGCTTTAATATGTATGTACATTTTTTTAACTAGCGCAGCCACTTCAGTTAAAAAGAACAGACAACCAATAGATAACGCGGCACGCAGATACTATGAAGGCATAAATAAAGATATAAGAAAATATAGACAGAAATAAATATTTAAATTTCTGTGATTAAGATATAAAACGCCTATATCATACATCAGGATTCGGAACAGTTTGCCAATTTCGGCCGATTCTCGGGAGCTACGCCTTTTATCTCCCCCTTGCCGCGCGGCGGGCCTAGAAAGTGACGGTCGTGCCTCTAAGCTTGGAGCCGCGACTGGTCGCGACCGTCACTTTCTAGGCCCGCCGCGCGGCAAGGGGGAGGTAGAAGGCGTAGCTCCCGAGAATCGACTGAAATTGGCAAACTATTCCTAGCCCTGTTATACATATAGGGTTCCCGCATAAGACGTGCCAAAAGAAAAATATAAGTAGAACAGATAAAAGTGAACAAAAATTGTAAAGGTCATTTTTTAAACAACCACGTAAAATTTCGAGATATTAATTAAAATAGTTGGACATATCAAAGTACGGCGACACGTTTGGCATATGGAAATGGGTGGCTCTATGTGTGCGCCCGTGTACGTGTGCGCTCGTGCCGTTTTCTTCACCGGCCGCGGCGAGCCGTATGTCCCGCCTGCCGTGTCTCCACGCTCTGATATGCCCAACTATTTTAATTAATATCTCGAAATTTTACGTGGTTGTTTGAAAAATGACTTCTACAATTTTTGTTCACTTTTATCTGTTCTACTTATATTTTTCTTTTGACACGTCTTACGTGGGACACCCTGTATATTATGCATAAATATATTATAGCATTATAGTTGTTAATTATTTATAATGATTCTGCAATGTTGTTTTAACATTTCCGATGGAATGTTACAATTCCATGTCTATGTTATGTTTCTGCAATGTTACGTTGAAATTTGAAATAATGTAACGTTCCTGCAACGTAATTGCAAAATTCTATGCTGTATGGGAATAAATTAAAGTTTCCAAGAGAGCTAAGTTAAAGTAGACAAATATTAACGATTCTTATTAATTGATAAGATATTGTTGCGTACACGATAAGCCTAGTTTTCGAAAGAACTTAGTATTGTAAATTAAATCTCGATTTCAAATCTCGTTCATGAGTGAGACGCATGTGATGTTACTTTCCGTTTGTTTTAGATCGAAGACAATGGGTAGCTATTGGAGTGTTGACTGCTATATTGGTGTTTTTAATAATTTTGTTCATAATTAAATGAATTGTCATTGCGTTCCTTCCTTCCTCTTTCTCCTCCTTCCCCAATTGTCGCTAATAATAACGATCGGACCCTCTTTTCGTAGCGTCAAGTGTAATCCTAGCTTAAGTCGTACCTGTTTGACAAACTTATTATTGATAGTGAGATTTTATGAACGATATAAATAAATACATTGTTATTATAATTCAATGTTGATTTTTTAACACCTCTCAATTATGTTATATTGGCCTGGTTTACATCGTGCATTTGATACGCGTATTAAATAGTAATTTTCTATTAAATAATCTTAATATTGACAATGCATATTAACGACGATACGATACGTCTTCTTGACGAATATTAGAGACGAGTATTAGAGACCAGCTTAATATATTAAAATTATTTAATAGAAAGTTACTATTTAGTACGCGTATCAAGTGCACGATGTAAACCAGGCCATTATATAGAGTGTCTGACGCATAGACTTCTATATAATACTAGACTGCTGATTCCCTTATATAGTGTTATGTAAAATTGATCCCGAAAAGTATGTGTATATATATATATATATATATATATATATATATATATATATATA